CAGTGATCACAAAGAACATAATGACTGTGTACAGAAAAGTCAAGTACAAAGGCCAGCAGCCTTTGCAGGTCACCAAAGATTAACAGCTGCCTCTCCTTTGATTGGGAGAGCTAATAACAGTTACTCTACTTAATAATTGGATGGGTTCCCAGGCCGTGTAATTCAGATTGAAGCTGTCATTTTTTTTCTGCCCTTTAACTAAGCTGGGTTATTAGAATGAAGCCACTAATCCTATTAGTCAGTTTTCAGTCCATAGTGGGAGAGAGCAAGGGAAGACAGAGCTGTTAAGATGTTATACCAGATATAGAAAGAAGAACTGTACATTCCATCCCTAGAGGTACTTTTTCTTGATCAAATCATAATTATAAAAGTTTTTAAAGTTCTTTGTGAAATTATTTTCTAGCTTTACATTCTAGGTGCAGAGTATTTACAAAGGAGGTAAAGGAGGAAGATAGACTTAGTTACTATAGAATTTATCCTGCTAGAATAAAGTGTTTTCAGCTAAAGAGTAGTCTTTAGTTGTTAACTGTTATATGCATCCTATGCTTGACTGTGCTTGGAAACACAGAGACCAGAGCATTTAAGCTTATCATAGACACAAATAAATATATAGAAGATTTTGACTTTAGTTGAAAGGATCAGAAAGTCTCACTGGAAGAAGTAACTTTTTATCTGAGTCTTAAAGGATTGAAAAATAGCATGTGAACATTAAGACTGAGAAGGCAACAGTTCTGATGTCTGATGGAGAAAATACTTGTGTTAAGCATTTTTAGTGTAATTACTCTCTGTGCACGCTTAGGAGGAGCATGTATAAGACAGTATGTGGGAGAGTGCCCCACTACTGGGGCATTAAGGTACCCAAATATGAAGAGAGCAGCAAGTGCCAAGTGATAGGCACAAAAAAGTCAGTGTGACAAGACTTGGGAAGAGACAGAAAGAAGACCATCTACTCCTGTCATATCTGTCTGGGTTATTGTGTGAAAGTGATTTTTTTTCATTTATATGTTTGAAAAGTTTCTTTTTAACCCCTTAATTTCAGCATTTGAAATGGTTCATCATTGAGATAGCTTGATTTCCTTTTTTAGTATCCATGAGGTAAAGAAGTAATCTCAAGCCAGGTATGGTGGCTTGTGCCTTTAATTCCAGGCAGAGGGAGTTGGGTTCAAAGCCAGCCTGGTCTATGTAGCAAGTTCCGGACCAACCAACTCTGCATGCATTGTCAGGCCTTGTCTCAAGAAACCAAAACAACAACAAAATAATCTCAGACATTATAGGATTATTATGTCTGCCTTTAATGTTTAGAGAGGGGCAAGAGCTGTTTATTTTGCTTTATTAAGGAATGGGATCCATTAGGGGTTGGTCTTTCTTATAATACAGACAGGCCTCAATATTAACTTAACCTCATATGTCATAGGATATTTTTGTTGTCTACCATATATTATTAGTTGAGCCATTTGTCCAACAAGTACATACCATTGCCCTTTTCTGCCAGAACTAGGATTGAGTAACGAGTCAATAGCTCATAAGGAGCTTGTAGACTGTAGGGTAAGAGAGCAGATAAAACAAATAGGAGTTGATGGCAGGACATGAAAGATAAGTTAGGAGGATGCTGAGCAAAGTGTCCATCATCTGGCTGTACACAGTGGAATAGATCAGAGATTGCTTACTTCATATCTAATTCAGAAGTATATATTACCTTGATTCCTGAAGGAACTGAATTTTTTAAATTTTACAGTTGATTTTTGCCTCTTGCTTTATTTTCCTAAAACGATAAAAAAAATTCTATTTTCAGTAGTATGTTAGTAAGAAAAATGGTTTAAGTTGGTTTTCATCGTTCCTGAAGTTACTTATTTTTGTTCTGCTAAATGTCCATTAGAGTCAGTGCCTTAAGATCTTCAGGAGGTCATAGCCATGTTGGCATATCATAAAAGGCTTTCAGTTGGGTGTTGTGGGTTTTTTCCATTGTTGTATACATTAAACTGCTCTGCTTTTACTCAGTCTGCCACTTCTACAGTGTTGATCTAGGCTCCTCCTTCCTGCCTCAAGCAGAAGAATATGAGACTCTATAAACTGAATATGGGAACAGTAGGCATGGACAGAATGGGCAGCAGTCAAACTGAAGCAGAAATAAGATTATCACATCCTAGAGTCTGAAACATTGTAAGAGTAGAGGAAAAGAAAAGAGTGTAAAAAGCCAGTGTCTTAAGATGTGTTAAAATCTGGATCCTTGCCCTCAGTGTATTACTGTGCTTTACAGATGTATTTCACTTGTTCTTAATATAGTTGTGTATTTTTAAATATTGTATCTATAATTTGAGTATAATACATGTAACATGAAAAGGCCGGCTTGTTTGTGTTTTTCTGTCTCACCCACCAGGTCCCCACAATTGTTTAGTCCCAGAGAAAAATCACACTGAGATCTCTATAAGTTATAAAGCTGATTGGCCCATTAGGTCAGGCTACTTATTAGCTAACTCTCTCATCTTGATTAACCCATTTTTCTGATCTATTTTAGCCATGTGGTTCAGTACCTTTTTCAGTGGGGCAGCTCACATCCTGCTGCTTCGGAGATCTGGGCAGGAGTGGGAAGAATCAACTTCCTCCTCCCCAGAATTCTCCTGCTCTCCTGGCATCATTTTCACTTCCTGTCTGGTTTTCCGCCTACACCTCCTGCCTGGCCAATCAGCGTTTATTTAAAACATGACTGACAGAATAGACAATTCTCCCGTACCAGATACAGAAGTTTTTTTTTTTTTAAAGACAGAGTCTCTCTATGTAGTTGGCTGTCCTGGAACTTGCTATGTAGACCAAGCTGGCCTCAAGCTCACAGAGATCTGTGTTGGGATTAAAGATTTGTGTGTGCTAGCATGCCCAACTGTGTTTACTTCTTGATGCAGAGTCCCTTCACTGTCTTCATTTGATTTCACATGTCTCAGGGTACCATAGGCCGAAGTAGTAGCTACCAAATAGTATTCATATGTAACAAATGGTTTTATTTGTATGAAATTCTATAATAGACAGATTTAATTTATGATACTATTATACAAAAGAGGATTGACTGCAAAAGAGAAGTGAGGAAACTTAATTGGGTTATAGAAATTGTTGTGTCTTGATAACCATTTGTCAGATTTAATTGAATACTGTGTACTTAAGGTCTCAGCTTTTCACTCAGTTATAAAAAAGTTGAAAATATCAAACCATAAACAGCCAGCAAACATAAGATACTTACTTCCTAGTTGCCAAGAAAAGATAAATACAAACCTCACAAAATGCCAGCACATACTGTTGAAAGGACTAAAGTTAGAGAGGTTGATAGAACTAAATTTAAATAAAAATATGAACTAACTGAAATGACCAGTGTACCATGGTGTTTACACAGATTGATTAAAACATTTTAGGATACTGCCCATAGCTAGTAAAACTAATCCTGTGCACAGTTGTGACCCAGAAGTTCTACTCCTAAGCCTATGCCCAATTCATCTTATGTGCCAGATATGTAGAGCAATATTGTCCAAATGGAGCCACATAAAAATAAAAAGCTTCTATACGGTGTAGCATATGAATGGGGTAGTTTTGGACCAGAATATGTTGCTATCCAATTTTTTTTACATGTGTGGTACTTAAAAACTAAGGCATTATGGGGCTAGCATGAAACTCAACATCAGGGAGATTCTCAGGAATCCACAAGGATGACTCCAGCTAAGACCCTAAGCTATGGTGGAGAGGGTGCTTGAACTGGCCTTCTTTTGTAGCCAGAGTGATGACTACCTTAACTGTCATCATAGAGCCTTCATCCAGCAATGGTGGAAGCAGATACAGAAATCCACAGTGAAGCACTGGGCTATGCGTCTGGAGATCAATCCAAGAAGGTGGTGGGGGAGCAATAATACGAGCAAAGGAGTCAAGTCCATGGGGATGCCCACAAAAACAGCTAACCTGAGCTAGTGGGAGCTCACTGACTCTGGACTGATAGCAGGGAAACCTGCATAGGACAAACAAAGCCCTCTGAATGTGGGTGACAGTTATGTGACTGGGGCAGTCTGTGGGGCCACTGGCAGTGGGACCAGGATTTATCCCTAGTGCTTGAACTGACTTTTTGGTGCCCATTATTTTTGGAGAGATACCTTGCTCAGCCTAAATATAGTGGGGAGGGTCTCAGTCCTGTCTTAAAGTGATGTGTCAGACTTTATTGCCTTACTGAGGAGTGGATGGGGATGGGGTAGAAAGAGCCAGAGGAGAGGAGGGAGTGGGAACTAGGATAGGTATGTAAAATGAGAAAAGATCATTTTTAAAAATTAATTAATTAAAATTAAAAACATAAAATAATGTAACAGAAAATTGTTCTTTCCTTCCCCATGCCAGAAGACTGCAAAGAGTTTAGAGAAATTTCTTTATAGAAAAGTTATGTATAATTCAGAAATTATATAGAAATCATCATAGATTGAGTTCTGAAATGCTTAATGTTCTAGTGAAAGCAAAGAGAAAGAATGTATACAACAAACATGTTCAGCTGCCTGGTATTGCTGACAAACATCCCAATGGAGATAAACCTATGGAAGTCAGCTGCTCTTGTTACATAGGACTTATGATTACAGGACAGCCGTTTCGTTTTCTTGATAAATGTGCTTTGCCATCTCTCCACTGCTATGTCCTGCCAACCCCTTACGTCTTTCTGCCTGTCTCATGCTATAACTTGCCCAGAAAAGCCTTCTCCCCAAAATATGATTGGTCACCTATATTCATGCATCCTTTGCCTTCCCTTCAGGATACTAACTGTAATAAAAATCACTTAAAATGATGTGACTGGTATGTGTCCCATTCATCAAACTTTAAATTTCATAATTCAGGTGGCCATGTCTATGTTCACCACTATTTGCCCTCATTTCCCTGCACCAAGAAATCATTCAACAAATATATCTCAACTGCACACTAAATATTTCATTTGCTTAGAATTTTATGCCTAGGATATTGTACTAACTTCTGTTTGTGTTTCTGTCTAGAATGTGGCAGATCAGATTGCATTTCAAGTTGCTGGTGGATTAACAGCCCTTGAACACATCCTTCAAGTAATGGCCCCTGCCTCAAACATGAACACAGTTTCACGAATTCCTCCTAAGTAAGTATAGTTTCTTAATCTGAATTTCATTTGTAAGTAATTTCTGCCTTGTTGTTTTCATATGGGGGAACCACAAGAAAATTCTCTCTCTCTGTGTGTGTGTGTGTGTGTGTGTGTGTGTGTGTGTGTGTGTGTGTGTATTTAGACTTGAATAGCAAGAGCTATTAAGGAGAAAAAAAAGGAGTTGCTTGACTTCATTTTCAAAATCCAAATTAGCCTCAAAATCCTTATAAGGAAATCTTTTTAGTCTGTGATTGACTCTATTCTTAAACCAAGAAGAACTGATGGCGTCCTGGAATAGGAGTGGAAGAAAGCTAACCTTCTGTATTGTTTGTGAAGGAGTTAGGTCCGTGGCCTGAAAATGAGTCTGCAAAATGACAGAAATCCCCAAACTCAGGAGGAGCATTCTGAGGCCAAGATTGCCAGAGTCTGAAGTCTCAACCAGACTGCTGGAAACTGAATTGCACCTCAGTCACTAATGGTAGATTGTCCTTTGACATAAAGATCCTATGTACATTTGAATCTAATTTCTATCTTCTAATTTTGTCAAGTCATATGTTAGTGTCTGTCCATTTGAAGTATAGTATTAGAAAATATTATTTCATAAGTATTTTTTCACAGTTATAGCATATGCAATTTCTAGGCAGTTTGTGGGGATTCTTATTTGCAGTTTAAATGAGTTTTTGATAAAATTTTATCTATACCTCTGAGAAAATGTTACTCTTTTAGCTAGTAAAATAAACAGAAAGTTCTGTTTGTCCTTTGGGTGCAATGAGGGATTAAAAACAAACAAACAAACATAACAGTTTGTCTTTTTTTCCTGAGATGCATTTTGGTAAGATTAAAAACAAAAACAAAAAAAAACCACTCACCACATTGACTTCAGAGTCCCGCAAATCTAGGATCTGTTTATGCCAGCAAGTGCCTTTTTCATATTGCAGCTCTTTCCCTATTTGGTAGAATGTATGTAAAAATCTTTGCAAACTATGAAAAGTATTTTATAACTGTTAGGTGAAGTATGTTAAGTAGTGGTCTTACCTGATTTAAATTATAGTCTGTTTGCATGAGGTACTTACAAGTAACACAGACTTGTTGACACAATTAACATGAGTTCCTTTGCTCTGCTGACAAGATAGAGGTGATTAAACTGAAGGAATAGCCCTTAAGTCTGTGAGAGAGAAAGTGCCATCAGACAGTTGCAGCAGGCATGAAAGTTTATCTGATAGTGAGGCATTTCTCATCAAAATATTTTATTTCCATGTCATTGCTGGGTATGAGAGATGAGAATCACTTCTGTGTTGATGGCAAGAAAGAAAGGAGAGAAGGACTGAGATGTGTAAAAAATACTTAAGAGTAAAAAGTGAAATGGCATTTGATTCTGTGGTTCAGTGTTTTGATAATCATTAGTAATTCATATTGTTCAGCTTGAGTTTATCTTGAGATTTTTAAATTTTGGTTTTTGTTTTTATTACTTAGTTTTCTGGTGAGTGTCAAAACACATGATCCTAAGGTCTTGGACTGGCAACCTAGATTAAATGCCATTTCTCAAAGGCTGCTTTTGCTACAGGCAAAGGTTATGTTCTTATGCTTATCTATATTTCTCCTTAATAGAGCAGAAGAGAGTTTCCACAGTTCCTAAAAAAGACTTATGTGAGAAATAGTATGTTCCCATTGGAAAGGAGAACTGGAATCCTGAGAGTCTAGTCCAGTGCCCTCGGCTGTCAGCAGCACTTGACCACAGTGCCATGCTGAGAACTTGTCTCATCGCCAATAGATCTGAGTTTTCAGCTTTACGTTGCCCGCAGATAGAAACCAGCATTAGGAGCCATCATCATCTAATAGTGGCTCTGGATTCTCTTGTCTGAGCACACACTCAAGATTGTAACTGTATCTACCGTCTTCTTAGATACTTCCTAGAGCTACTGTATTAAAGCCCAGTGTGCTGGGCTGTGTATCCATAGATAGGTGAGAGAACTTCTTCAGGCACTGTGGTCTGAGTCAGAGCAGGCTGCTGGAAATATGTCAGTGTGTAAACTTAAAAACACTTTCTGCACAAACTTCTGCCGTGGCCCTGAACTGTCCATAGGACCTTGGTACCCCACTTGCTCCCAGGCGGCCCAAACTCCCTTTCCATCCCTGATTAATTCTTACTACTCATCTCCATGAACCTTCTGTCGTCTTATATCTTTCTGTGTCCCTGTTTTCTGCTTCCTGTGATGCTGTATGGCTCTTACGGAGAGAGCTGGCAGTTTAGGCTATCCTGTATTGTTTAATTTTCTTCAGTGATAAGCAGCAGACTTAAACCATTGTCTAGAAATAGCCATCATTTTGAACTCTGGAATCCTACGACTGACTGACTGTAAGCCTGATGCATCTCTGGCCAGAAGCCCTGAGTTCCATGTGCATAGATGAACCTCTCCCTGCTCCTTTTTTCTTACCACACTGTGTATCTCAGTTACTTCACAAGTGACTCTTTAGCCTTGCTTTGTCCATAGTTATTGCAAGGTAGCTTCTTAAGAATAGTATTTCCTTCCATATTTCCTTTATTTTTAAGGATTCATTTTGTTTTTTATCTATATGAATGTATGTTTATGTGTGTACACATGTGTGCAAGTACCCTCACTATGAGCTGCTTATTATAGGCACCTGAAATTAAACTCTTTTTCTCTGTAAGAGCAGGAAGCTTTCTCACCTTTTGAGCCATTCTTCAGCTCTCCCCCCTCAAAAACCCCTAAAGATATCCTAAGGTGAAATTAAGAATATGGAACTAGAGATTTCATAATTTGGTTTTTCTTATAAACAGAATAATACTATGTCATGTAAATGTACCATATTTTCAGTACCCATTTGTGGTAGTTTGAATATAATTGCCCCCATAAGCTCATTGGGAGTGGTACTATTAGGAGGTATGACTTTATCAGAGTAGGTGTGGCATTGTTGGAGGAAGTCTGTCACTGGAAGTGGGCTTTATGGTCTCATATATGCTCAAGCCACACCCACTGTCTCAGTTTACTTCCTATTGCTTGTGGCACAATATACAGAACTCTCAGCTACTTCTCAAGTACCATGTCAGCCTTCATGCTGCTGTGTCCTGACAAGATGATAATGGACTAAACCTCGGAAACTATAATCCACCCAATTAAATATTTTCCTTTATAAGAATTGCTATAATCATGATGTCTCTTCCCAGAAATACAGACCTTTAAACACCATTCATCAGTTGGTGGATATCTAGGCTGTTTCCATTTCCTAGTTCTTGTGAATAAAGCTATGAACAGGGAAGAAGTACCTCTGTGGTAATATAATATATAGAACCTTTGGGGTCTGTACTCAAGAGTGGCATAGCTTCATCATGTGGTAGATCTATTTTAAAGTTTGTGAAGAACTGCCACACTGATTTCCAGAATTGGCATAACAGTTTGCATTCCCACCAGCAACAATCAAATAGTCCCCCTTTTCTCACATTGCACCAGTATGTATTCTCGATTGTTCATTTGATCATGGCCATTCTGACTGGGGTAAGATGAAATCTCAAATTAGTTTTAATTTACATTTTCCAGATGACTAAAGATGTTGAATATTTTTTAAAAAGTGTCCACTGGTGCAATAGTGGCACAAATGATATAGGGATAACCAATCACTTTTCTGATTGGATCCAGAGTCAAGTGGATGAAACCCATACCTGACACTTATATAGGTCTATAATGAAAATGAGGAAGTGGGGCAAAAATATATACAGAAGGTGCAATTTGAGGAGGAAAAGAACACCAGGGAGTCTTTAATGTTGGATGCAAGGTTTGTGCTTAAAGAAATGAGAAATTAAATAAAGGGAGTGGTGTCTTCAGGGTGAGATGCCACCCAGCTAATCCTGCAATTGGCAAAAAGAAAAGGCTAAGGAATTACCTGTTCCTACAAAGCTACAAAGGAAAGCTTATGCAAATGAAATTCAAGATGGGGGCCAACCTCCAGACCCAGCAGACTGAAGAACTTGATATCTTTGGCCATGTGATTGTGGCTTTAGAGTCATGAAGGATACAAGAGTAAAGGGCTTGTGGAATCTTCCTCCGAGGTTAAGAAAAGCTACTGAGGCCAGGGATGTAGTAGGGGCCTGATAGGCTATTGCATGAAGCTGTGAAAATGAAGCCAGAATTATGTTGGAAATTCTAAGAGATTTAAGATGCCAGAGCTATGGGATACCACCAAGGAAAGCTGCAAGCATGAAGTGGAACCAACCCAAGAGAGAGAAGTGTGTTGCAGTTAGTTAAGCCAGAAGGACAGAGCCACTTAAGACTTTTGACATCAGACATAGAGTTCCAGGATTTGGAGTTTACTTGGCTGGGTTTCAGTCTTGCTTTGTTCCATATTTCCTCACTATGCCCCTATTCCTTCCTTTTGGAATAGTAATCTATAGTAGTTGCCATTGTACATTGGAAGTATGTGATTTGGTTTTTGATTTTATGAGGGGTTACAATTAAGAGATTACCTTGATTAACAGAAGAGACTTTGAATTTTGTAATTTTAAACCCTCTTAAGTCTGAAAGACTGTGGCGTGGGGAGTGGACTTTTGAAGTTGAACTGACTAAGCACATTTTGTGTTCTGATATGGCCACAAGCCTATGGGGGCAGTAAATGGAATATGGAGGTTTGAAAGAGAATGATCCCCATAGACTCATATATTTAAATACTTGGTCCCCAGTTGGTAGAACTGTTTGGGAAGGATTAGGAGGTGGAGTGGCTTTGAGCTTTCAAAATCCCACACAATTCTCAGTTAGTGCTCTCTACCGCTGCTGTGGATCAGTTATAAGCTCTCAGCTTCTGCCTTAGCACCATGTCTGCCTGCCTGCTCTTGCCATGACCTTCATGGTCTCTGACCCTTTGAAAACATGAGTCCAAAATCAATGCCTTTATAAGTTACTTTGAATATGGTTTCCTTGGGTATCAGAACAGTGTTCTAGAAATTCTCATCTCAGGATCAGTTTTCTGGACACACAGATATGGAA